CTTTAGTCAGAAGCACTTGCTGTAAGAGGATAATGAGGGTTCATGTGCATTGCCCTGTAGTCCCTGACCTTCTCCCGTAAAATTGGAATGATACAGCTGGGCACTGGCTTCTGTGCAAACTGCCTGTGGCCACGTTCCCCTGCAGGGAAGGGAAATCCTAAGACACCGCTGCTCTGAGGAGGTGTGGGCCCTCCCACCAGTTCTGGGCTACTGGCTATTCCCTGCCTCCAGCATTCTTCTCAAAAGGAGCTGACTCACTGCTCTTGAATGGCACTGTTGGCTGCACAGGTGCTCCCGTTATCCTGACACAGGCTGGAGGCCTAGCGGCACTAGCCATCCCTAGAAAGCCAGACTGGCACAGGAGTGCTGCTTCCAAGATTTTGAGAGCGCTTTCTGAGTAGGGATGAAGGCCTTGCGCACTGAAATGGAAAAGCCCTATTGAATCCCTCTTGTTCCAGCCCCATGGGGCAGATGCAAGATTACGCCTGTTCTCCAGCGCTTCATCCACTATTCGAGCCCCGAGCAGTGGTGCTTCCAGCTGTTCCAGTGGGGAGATTGCGCCACACACTAACTGGATATGACTCAGGCAGCTTCCAGTTTAACAAGAGGGTTAAGGCCTGCCTGCCTCTTACAAACAAGCTCCCCCCTTTGCAGCCAGTATCGGCCTCCTCTTTCAGCCTTGCTTGGATCCCCAAACCCGGCGTGGCAGTCTCCGACCAGAGAAATGGCTGTTGGCCAAACTTCTGGCCTTCCCTTTAGTGGGCTTGGGTTGACGGCCGTAGAGTAAGAATCTGCGCTGAAACAAGGGAACCTCAGCTCCCCCCTTGTGACATTTTCTGCTGAGCTCTGTTAGCCCTGGGCGTGCTTATGAGGGCCAACTCCTGCAATGCTGGGACTAGCACCATTTCAGCCTCTCTCAGCTCTCCAGCAGACTCCAAGCCCCCAGGTGAAAGGCAGCTCCTGCTGGAGTGCGCCCGCTCTAACACTGCGGCTCTCTCTCCCTCAGGTAGTGAAGATGACCAGTAGCGACCAAGAGCGACCACAGTTCCTGTTTGTGAAAGCGCTGGCCAGCCGGGGGCGCCTGGAGGCAGTGACGCAACAGATGGGCTACCACCCGCAGTACCTGGACAGCTTCCTCAAGATGCAGCACTACCTGCTTCACATGGACGGCCCACTGCCATTTGCCTGCAGACACTACATCGCCATCATGGTACGTACCAAACCCTCACCTCTGGGAAAGCAGCTGAAGTAAAGGCCTCCTTCCTGGCACTATTGCAACAGCCTGCCAGGGCTGAACGTAGCCTGCCGGAGCACTCGGTCCTTCGCTTGGCTGGTGCCCAGTGTCTAGTGGCTCCCACGTCTCCATAGAAGGCTCAGTGATGGGGGGAGGCAAGGGTGAGCTCTGCTCTCGGTCACCATTATTCTGTGCTGATAGAGTCTGGGGTCACCTCTCCCTGCAGAAGGCCCCAGTTAGGTTCTGTGTCTTGCGTCCCTCTGCAGGAGCTTGGATATCCTTTGTGGCTTGGCCCTAGCCAGGCTCCAAAGGTTCTCTTTGGGTGGGTGGCCTTGGACTTCATGCTGAGCTGGAGTCTTCAGACAGTTGCCCGTGCTGGTTACCTGGGTGGTGTCCCTGGCCCTGTGGATACTGCATTGTCCTCTGGAGAAGCTGCTAGGGCTGGGCTTCATGCACTCAGGGTCTGAGTTGATCTTGCAGGCAGCTGCTCGGCACCAGTGCTGGTATCTGGTGAATCTGCACATGCTGCAGTTCCTGCGAGTGGGGGGAGATCCCCAGTGGCTGCGGGGCCTGGACTTCATCCCCCCCAAACTCCGCAATCTTAATGAGATCAACAAGATCCTGGCTCATCGGCCTTGGCTCATCAGCAAGGAACACATTGAGGTAACTGCACGTGGGATGTGGATATGAAGAGTCTGGGTGTGGGCTGATGGGTGGAATGAGAAGGGAACATAGGGCTGAGAGCTGCCCACTCCTTCCATCATGCACGGCCCCCTTGCAGATTCCTTCAAAAGGGGGCCTGGCATGAAGAGGGAGGAGACCTTGGGTGAGTCACTTGATGGATGGGGCAGACAGTAACCCCATCTACAGATGCAGGCATTATATAATGACACATGAAGAGAAGGGAGTACTTCACAAGTGGAGAACCAGTGTTGATAGGGCCCATTCATCAGGGTGGATGTAGTCCACTCCCAATAATAGATGAGGAGGTGTCAATTCCAGGAGAGACCTGCATCTGTAACTTTCACTCGATGCATCTGAAGTGATTTTTTTTTTTTTTTACCCACGAAAGCTTATGCCCAAATAAATCTGTTAGGCTTTAAGGTGCCACCTGAGTCCTTATTGTTTTTGTGGATACGGACTAACATGGCTACCCCCTGATACTAGTAACCAGTCTGTTTTCTTGCTGTGATATCCGTCTCTGTCTGACCTACCCCACAGAAGCTGCTGAAGATCAGTGAGCAGAGCTGGTCTCTGGCAGAGCTGGTCCACGCTGTTGTCCTCGTGGCGCATTACCATGCTCTCGCCAGCTTTGTCTTTGGTTGTGGCTGTGAGCAGGAGTGGCTGGATGGCAGGAGCATACTGAAGTCAACGTTGCCAGGAAACCAGTGTTTCTGTGAGTCCGCCAGTGGGAACAGCTGTAATCTGGAATTGCTGCGCATCAACCGCAAACGGGTGAGCCACCAAGGATTTAACTCTCCCAGTGGCCAGGGGGCCAGCGGAACGAGGACTGCTGGCTGATTAACAGTTGTGTATTGTCTTCCCACAGTCTCTGGATTCCTGTGTGGAGCTGGAATCGCTCCGGGAACGTATCCAGAGGATCCACCTGGAGACTGAGGGCCGAGAGGAAACGAGGCCACCACCACAAGACAGAGAGGAAGGTAATCCAAAGGGGCAGGCTGGAGATCTGGCACCCCAGAGGTCTCTGCTAGGAGAAGGGCAAGCCACCAATTTAGGCCTGTCCCTGTAGAGGCTGCAGGTGCCACCCAGGACTCTCCTCTCTTTGTAGGACTAGAAGGATGTGCCACAAAGAATTGCCACCAAGCTCCTTGCACTGCAGAGTATCTAGTGGGGGGCCACAGGAGTATGGAATTGGGGGTTAGTGTCCTTAACACTGGCTAATCCACACCCTTCCAGATCATTGGAGAAGACTGATGATGTTTTCCAGGACTGTAGAGAGGAGGAAAAGCAGAGGAAATGACAAATGTGGCTTTAGGGAACCTGAGAAATAATGATGCTGAAGAGACCTCTTTCCCCAAGGGAGGGAAGGGAAGTGCCATTGATGTGTCTATTTCAGAAGTGAAGAAAGCCCCAGGGAGTGTTGTAAGGATCAGTTTTGCCCTGGGAGAATGGCTTAGATGGGATGTAACACTCATGAAACATGTACCAGAACGCTTGGCTGGGATTGACTTTGCCGGCCCTGGAAGCTCCGAGAGGCAGTAATGCTGTGGGGAGTTGGGATTCCATGCCCCAGGAGATCTCTCTGGAGGGAGACCATGCCCCTTGCTGCTGGATGCTGCAGAGAAGCCGCATAAACTTGTGGCAGATCTGTTCTAATCTCCTCTGTGGGTGGCGGTGGGGTCTCTTTTCCTCAGATTTTGATGGGGAAATCGTCAGAGCCACAGATCTCTCCTGCTATGTGCAAGACCCTGACTTTGGATACCAGGACTTTGCCAGGCGAGATGAAGATCAGACCCAGATATTTAGAGTCCAGGTGAGTGTTTTGTTCTCTTATGGGGTGACCCTGGAAGGCAGGAGTAGAGTCTGGGCCCAGGATCTTTGTTCCATGTCAAAAATAGGGTGAGAGAGAGTGCCATGCGGCTGCTCTAGGCTCACATGCCTTATACTAAAACAGCATTCACAGGAGGCCGTGAGTGAGAGGGCTACACGCGTCACTCTGAAAAGTAACAGTCCTGTGGCACCTTTAAGACTAACAGATGTATTGGGCATTCACCCACGAAAGCTTATGCTCCAATACATCCCTTAGTCTTAAAGGTGCTACAGGACTCTCTGTTGCTTTTTACAGATCCAGACTAACACGGCCACCCCTCTGCTACTCTGAAAAGTGACGGTCAAGATGCCCCATCTTACCAGAAGCAGGTTGTGGAGGGAGAGGAGTCAGAGCTACTGACCTTGGGGACAAATAAGTATTCTGCTGTTGCAGATCCAGCACAGCTCTGGGGGCGGGAGCCAGATTCTGTTCAGCAACAGCTTTGCTGCCAAAGTGCCAATAGCAGGATCAGATGTTCTCTTGCACCTGGACAGCCCCACTAGAGGCAGGTGTAACTGGGGGCAGGGTTTGGCTGCTGGCAGAGCAGGGAAGCCTCTTGCTGTTCTGATTCCAGCAAGAGCGTGTCCCGTCTAAGATATCACACACCCTGGACACAATGCCGCTTTCTGCCTCAGTGGCTTTTCCACTGGCTCATTTCATGGGGCTGCTGAGTTCCCCCTCTGGCACTGAAGGCATCTTGCTCTGTTTGGCAGGATTACTCCTGGGAAGACCATGGATTCTCGCTGGTAAACAGACTCTACTCTGACGTTGGCCACCTCCTGGATGAGAAGTTCCGTACAGTTGACGGTCTCCAGAGCAATGCCATGGCCAAGCGGCAAGGCTGTGAATCTTCTGTCTTCAAACGGGGCATCTGGAACTATATCCACTGCATGTTCGGAATCAGGTATCCAAGGGGTCTCAGTGCAAGGCCTACGTGGGGTTGTCACTGGAGAAAATCTAACTCTTAGCATATGTGGGATTCATCCGGGAGAGGAGCTTGGCCTGAGAAATGGGGATGTTACAGCTACCTCTGTCCCCCAACCTTGTGGGGCATCTTCCAGACTGGTTAAGAGAATCAGTGAGGAATTAAACAGGGATCGGTTGACATGAGCCTTCGAACGTAGCTGAGCTTTGGGATGACACGGGTGCCCATGGTGCCCCCCCCAGCCCCTTCTCAGGATGTCTTGTGGGAGTGGCTCAGGTATGGCTCACGTTAGGTAGCAGCAGAATTGTTTTGCTATGCCCTCCCACTTCTTACCGGCCGTAAGAGTGAGCAGCGGGGGGGAGGGATGGAAGGAGGGGGAGAGGAGCAAGTGGGGAGTGGAGAGAAGGGGTGACATGGGGGCGGGGCCATGTTTTGGGCACCAGTGGGCCCCCCCCACTTTTAGTGAGCTTCCATTGCCCCTGAACCAAGATGTGTGTCAGCTACTGCCACTCCTGTATGTAAGCCTAGTGCCTCCAGATCAGTGAGCAGGGCCGGCTCCAGGGTTTTTGCTGCCCTAAGCGGCGCAAAAAAAAAAAAAAAAGCCGCGATCGCGATCTGCGGCGGCAATTCGGCGGGAGGTCCTTCGCTCCGAGCAGGAGTGAGAGACCATCCGCCGAATTGCCGCCGAACAGCTGGACGTGCCGCCCCTCTCCGGAGTGGCCGCCCCAAGCACCTGCTTGGCAAGCTGGTGCCTGGAGCCAGCCCTGTCAGTGAGCAGCAGGGGCCTGATACAAGTGGTCACTCCAGCTCCTCTGGCTGCTATCCTGATCCTGGAGAAGGTTGTGGCAGGTGGGCACATGGAAGCTGGTTCTCACATGCGCCCTGGAACTCTTCCCACAGGTACGACGACTACGATTACGCAGAAGTGAATCACTTTCTGGAGCGTATGCTCAAAGTTTACATTAAAACTGTGACTTGTTACCCAGAGAAGACGAACCCAGAAATGTTCAGCCGGTTCTGGAAGCAGTTCAAGCACAGTGAAAAGGTACGGGGGCTCAGAGGAGAACATGGCACATCTAATCTCTCCAGGTAGTCTATTTGGCCAGTTTTTAGAGCCCGCAGTGCTTCAAGGGAAGCTTGTGCAGCTGTTGGGTTGAGCCCAAAGGTGGGAGGGACCAGAGCCTGGCACACAAGGTCCTTCCTTCAAACCAAAGAGGTGTCAGGGAGGATCCAGGGAACACAGAACTTGGGTGCTCCTGTGGGGCTGGAACCGGGCATCAGGGAGTGAGGCTCTTGGAGGCCTCGTCACTGATGGCGCTGCAAGCAGTCTTGGGGCACTAGTTGTGCTCCGCTGCACTGTGACCTGTGCTGAGCTGTGCAGTGGTGAACAGCTGTAGTAACGCGGGAGAAGCAATGCCTCTGCATATGGTCCATGTCTACCCTGCAGGGCAGAACTGTCCTCCGCGCCAGTCCTGTTTGCAAGGCGCATGTGAGGAGTAGCTGCGCTCCCACTGGAGTGAGTCTCTACGGGAGGCTCTGGCAGACCGGGCCCGCTGACTACCACATCCTCTGTAGCTGCTCCTGCAGAGCTGACAGCAGGCTGGGGGAGTCAGGGAACTTGTGGTCAAATAAGGAACAGTTGAATCCACAGGACCTTGAAGTCCATACAGGGCTTGGTCTGGATCTACTTGAATGTCCCTCCCTCTCACAGCTTCTCCAGTGCAGGCAGCTCATAACCCTGCAGGATTAACCATTCTCTCGCGTTGCAAGTCCATCCTCTCCACACAGGCTGGCTGACTCCCTGCCCAGGCCAGAAGGAATCCATTAGCATTTAAACACTAGGCATGAAGGGCTCAGTGACCTGGGGCTGCCCCCTCTAGACCTGCCCTGACTGGTGCCCGCAGATCACTGCGCTAAGCAAACTGCACCAAGCCTAAGTCCCTCTTTTGCTCCCTCAGGTCCATGTGAACCTTCTCATCCTGGAAGCCAGAATGCAAGCTGAGCTCCTGTATGCACTGCAAGCAATTACCCAGTACATGATCTCCTAGAGAGCAGGGATGGCTGGGTTATGGCAGGGACGGCGCAGGCATCCCTGCCTCTCCATGGACTCCATACTTGAACCATCGGGCTGGACCTGGCTGCGATGGGTTTCTCTAACGTACTTGACTGTTCTGTTTCTATGGGGCACGATGAGTGACCTTGTTATGTGCAATTACCAAGCTGTGAGGCAACTCCGTGCTGCTGTGATGTAGGTGTGAAGCTGGAGATGCAAACGTGTCCATGGCAGACTCCCAAAGACTCGGGGCAGGGAGGGAAGGACGGGCAGGGAGAGGGCATGTCTCTCTTCAAAGAGATGGGCTCTAACCATCCACAGTGGAAGCCCTTCACCCAGGCGGCACAGGGAGCCTGTCCATGGACGCAGCCCAGTGCCGGCTCCCGTGTGCGTTCCAGCCCTGGGGCAGAGCTGCAAGCTTGCTCCCTTTCCAGCACTGCAGCAGCATCACACTGGGCAGGGCTGGCTGTTCGGACGCAGCGGCTGTGGGGTGATGACGCTCGCTCTGGAGCATCACAATCGGTGGGGGGGCTTTGGGTGTGTTCTGAAACGCCTTTAGTCAGAGGAGCACTGGTTATGACCCAGGTTCTCAGAGATGAGCAGATCCTCCCCCATCCCCAGCACAGTACTGGAGGGAAACCAGCCTCCTGCACACGCTCCTGGCAGCACCATGCGGAGTACATGTCAAGCTGTGGCACTCCTGAGGAGGTGCAGTGATCAACCTGCTGTATTCTCCCAGTCCCAGGGACAGGCTCTTGTCCTCCCGCTCCTGGGGGTGGCTGCTTGGAATGTTTCCCTTCTGTAGAGCTGGGCTCTGGGACCTGCATCCCCCCCTCTGGGTCTCCTGTTGAGCCCCCCTTTCTACAGAAAGCACAGGGGGGTCATTGTACCCAAACATGAGCTGGGTCACTAGCTGCTCAGTATTGCCAGGTGGGCTATGGCCTGTTTGCTCTGACAGGCCAGGTCAACTGAAACTGCCTCCAATCCCCTCCTGTTATGGGGATGGCAGCCCTAGGACTGGAGCAGCTCCTGACCGACCAGCCTCCACGCACAGGGCCTACACCTCCTTCTCTGCCATGGGCGGGAGCCACATGCTGCAGTGCTCTTCGTGACCCCGGGAGGGACTGAGGAGTAACAACCTGCCCTAGCCGTTACCGCTCTGGCTGGAGGAGATCTCGCCGTGCTGGGTCCCCAGCCGTGGCTCAGTGGCTGGCTCAGCTTCAGAGGGAGATTCAGGTAAGGGCTGTGTACAGAGGCTCCTTCTCCAAAGAGCTTTTTGGGGCATGAGGACACTGCTGGGACCTTCCTAGGAACTGGAGTCTGGAGGGGAAGGGGCTGGGAGCCGAGTGTGAGGCACGCTGCTTTGGTCAGCCTGGTTAAGCTACAGAAAGCCTATTTTTGCTATAAATATAATTATGTTTGACACAATCTGCACGTGGCTCATCTCTCTTCACTTGCCCCGGCCAGAGAGCTAACCCTTGTACAAGTGTGCTGTCGTCCGTCTGCTCGGCCTGCAGAGCTGGTGGCAGGCAGGGCCGAGCTGCACTGACGTAGCTTGTACAGTGGCTTTCTACCGTAGGTCTGGTCATCGCCTGCATTCCTGAAGTCTCCTGAGCTTTGCCTGGAGATGCAGCAGTGCTGGTCAGGATGCGGGGTTCTCTCTACTCTCTGGTGCCCTTCGGCACCATGGCAATAGGAGCCGATGAACTGTCCCTCCTTGTGAAGGAGACTGCTATGCCAAGCTCCATCTCCTCTCTCCCACAGCAGTACTTTCTCTCTTGCTGTCCAAAGTAGCTCTGGCATCTTGCAGCACTCCGCTCAACAGCGCCCAGGGAGTGTGACCGGACGGGAAAAGGGTTAACTGAACCTACAGGACTCCACTGCAAGAAAGGAGCAATATGGCCACAGGTGTGGGGGTGGGGCAGGGAGGTGTTGGGTAGCCTTAACCTCCCCTCCCACCACTAGGTTGTAGGACAGGAGTGAATTTAAGGCTTTGCTCCTGCCAGGGCAGCTTGCCTTCAAAGAAGGTGGGTGGGCAAGTGTGGTGTTCTGGATCCCTGGAACAGCAGGAGCCTGGCAAACGTTTCAGCGGGAGGCTTTCTGGCCAAAGCCACGCAGGGCTCCTTTCCTATGCTGATTATCCACACCTTGGGCCAAACAAGCTGTAAGATGTAAACCAAGTAGATCCCACTGGATTTTAACACTTCTGAACAGAAGTGAGAGAAGGGGTCTGCTTTTTTTTGGCAGTGTATGTGCTGAAAAAGGGCAGTTTTGGTCAACCTTAAACTATTTGCAAATATGTCTAATTTGCCTAATAGTTTTGACTGAAGTGGGGAAAAAAACAATGTTTCTGGAAATTTCAGCTCTCTGCACAGTAGCAGCCCAAAAGGCTAACTGTGTTAGGGCCTATTAGGAAAGGGACAGCAATCCATGGTGCACCCACACCTTGAATAATCTGTCCAGTTCTGGTTGCCCCATCTCTGAAAAGGTACAGAGAAGGGCAGCAAAGATGATCAAGGGTATGGAAAGGCTTCCATGGGAGGAGATACTAAAATGACTAGGTCGGTTCAGCTTAGAAAAGAGACTAAGGGGTGTATATAATACAGATGTATGTGTTTAAAAAAAAAATATTTACCCTCTCCCACCGTACAAAAACCAGGGGTCACCCAATTTTCATTATGGCTGCTGCCTATTAAACATGAGGCAGTACATTTAGACACCACACACAGTTAACCTGTGGAACTCACTGCCAGGGGATGTTGTGATGGCCAAAAGTATTAACTGGGCTAAAAAAAGGCTTAAAAAAAAAAAAGTTCCTGGAAGATAAATCCAGTAATGGCCATGGACCAATACAGTCAGAGATGTGACCATACCTCTGACTGCCAGGAGCTGGGAGGAGAAAACTGGTTCCTATTGCGCTCCCGCTGAAGGCCTGGTAGTGGCTCCTGTCAGACAGAACCCTAGATGGACCAGCATAGCCATTCTCATGTTGGTGTTTCAGTAACATCTACTTCAATTTACCCTGAAACTTTTCAATGCAGGCATTTTTCAGAGAAACAATGCTGGAGCTCTTATCACCTTTAACTCAGAGGTGGGGGTTCATGCTGGCAATTCGTAACAGGCATTAGGCAGAGGACTGTGTGACATAGTCTGGAGGGTAGGGCATTCGTTTAGGATCTGGGAGACTCAAGTTCAAAGTAGCATTACACGGTTTCATCAGGCTAGACTGAGAAATACTGGGCAGGCGGCGCTAAGCCTCTGCCACAATGCAGGAGCCCCAAGTTCAAATGCCTTGTGTACATCAGCCAGAAGGTAAAATTGACCCTGGGACTTCTGTAGCCTAGGAGCATAGAAGAATCATGGTTGTAAGAGACATCCTCTTCTCCCCCTATCATGGTTTTGTGAATCTAGTCCTTTGCTGATAATACATGACCTCAACATGAAAAGTTTCAGGTTGAAACAAAATGTTTCATGTTGACCCACCTCTACATTTTAGTTGCTGCAAGTTTCTGAAAAATTGCCATTTTAGTTTGAGATGAATTTTTTTCTCATTACTAGTGGAAGGGGGGGGGGGGAAATACACATCTCTACTTCTGGCTCTGGGCCTACAATTAACAAACAAAGCTTCTGTGGGACTCAACTGGTTACTAAAGCTGTGCTTACGCTGCCACTCTCAGTGCTAAAACGTTGGTCATTCAGGGGTGCAAAAAAACCCCTCTGAGCGACAAAAGTTTTAGCACTGAAAAGCGCCCGTATAGACAGCGCTTGCACTCCTGGTGATAAAGCTACCGCTGCTTGTGGAGGGTAGTTTTTTGTTAATGGCCGGGAGAGCTCTCCCCCAGCACGAAAGGGTGTCTATGCTGCCCATGTCACAGCACGGCCGCAGCAGCAGCACTGTAACATGGGCAGTGTAGACATACCCGAAGTGGCTATGGCAGTATTTTAAATGCCCAAGTACACAGCTTAGCCTGGTTTTTCATTCACCATGAGGTGCTCAGAGGCTAGAAGATATTAGCATAGTCACTTTCCTATTACCATCATCACAGCAAGGGCTGAGCAATGTCTCTACTTATGCCCCAATAACAGTGGCCCTCCTGTTAGAGGGAAGGCCAAGTTCCACCATGTTTCTGTTGCCCTGCAGCATTACAAGAGGCTGGGCCAACCTTCCCTGCTTCTAAGGCCTTGACTCAAACTCTCTCCTACCATTGTATTCAGATTCTCTCAGCTGAAGGGGGAAAAGTTGAAGATAACTGGCTTGTACCTTCCTTCAACCAGCAATTGTGGATTTAATCTGAGCTGCACCAGGAAGCTTTCTAGGCTACATGCTGACCACTGATTCATATCCCCTCCTCTAGCAGGCGTGAAGAACAGTAGCTCCTCCTAACTAAAAGGGCAGAGGTAGGTAAAATAGTCACTTCAAATTCCTGGCTCCTGCTGCTTTGTGGAGTCACTAACCTCAGTGCAAAGTAGGTAGTGAACACTCCCCTTCTACTGGGGCCGTGTTCCTGCTTGCTTTGCACTAGCGTAAGGGACCACAGAAACAGACCCCAAGACCTGGCCGTGGCATTCACAGCTCTGCTAGCCTTAGCCTTTCCCAAAGGGGCGTCCCCTCTTACACAGCTGGGAGCTGTAGACCTTACTTTATTAATCCCTGGTCAGCAGCACTTGCCCATGGCAGGAGCGTTCATGAGAAGTCAGCCAGGGAACTTTTGGAAGTTGTCAGAAAGCTGCTGGAGTGTGGCTGCCCATTCACCAGCAGGTGGCACCCTAGCCCCACAACTGTCTCTGACATAGGCTGCGCAGCTCAGGCATGTGCCCTTTGGCTGGTTCCCCACAGGGCCCCTGGCAGGGAAGGAGACCCAGAGCCTGGCACCTGACTGATTACCAGACTCTCCTCCCCTCGGCCAGTTGAGCTGCAGCAGAGGAATGTTCTCTCCGGGTCTGTTTTCAGAAACACCTTCAGTTCTGCTGCAGAGGGAGGAGGCAGGGTGGTGGTTCTCAGCCTGTGGTACATGTACCCCTGGGGATACACACAGGTCTCGGGGGAGTGGGGGATATCAACTCACCGAGCTATTTGCCTAGTTTTACCACAGACTACATAAAGACTGAGCACTAGTGAAGTCAGTACAAGCTAAAATTTCATACAGACAGCGACTTGTTTGTACAGCTCTATGCTATACACTAAAATGTACATACAAGATGTATACCCCAACTGACTAATGATATGGCAAAAGTCTCCTGTTGCACCCCCACCTCCAAATTCCATAAGTAAGCAGGTCCCTGCTGGGGATTATTGCTCTAGTACTATTTTTGCTGCCAAAAGTGGGACAGCAGATCCCCTGGCCCACAGCTGTGAGCTCAGCTGCCACTCACTGTCTCTTCTAAAGCAGCAAGCAAAAGTACCATCACACTCTCATTTGGATTCAGGCCATCAGGGCACATGAGCCAGGGGGGCAGGGCACGGCCCAGAGCAGTTGCCAGCCTAGCATGATTCCTTCTCACTGCTTCACGCACAAGGCTGTGTTGGCAGGGGCAGACGAGAGCTGCTTTGGAACAGTGGAGTGTTCCCAAGTTTTCTGCTGGGAGGAATGGTATGCACTAGTCCATGGAGAGCAACAAACGGTGCTGGAATAGTTAGTGTCCACAGCTAGTCCATGGCCCCATTACAGGACAGGTTTGGGTACAGCTCTTGCAATAGCAGGAATAGTAAAGATGTAATGGAAATGTGGACACCCTTCAAGCAGTGACCTGTCCTAGGTCCAATTTCCTCCCCTTCTCCCATTACACTGACCTGCACTTAGGAACTCACCAGTTGCTGGGGCCAGGAAGCAGAATAAGGCAGGTGGCGTGCCCCCTCCTGGCACTTTTCACAGGTTGCATGTTCTCCACCCCAACAATTTCTAGCCCCACTTTCCTCTGGAGGCAGCAAGGGAGGGCCAGGGATGAAAGTAACTTAACAGACTTACCGGTATGCAGGGTGGCTGGGGTGAGGGGGCAACTCTGGGCCCCTGGAAGGGGCAGGGTTGGGGCCAGACTCCCCCAGCCAGCCCTTCAGCACTGCCCAGCCCACACTGCCTGGGGCTCTGGCAGCAATTTAAAGGGCCAGGGGCTCCAGCCACTGCTGGGAGCCCTGGGCCCTTTTAAATTGCCAGGCCATGGGGCAGCTGCCCCTTTTGTGCCCCCCCCCCATCAGTGGCCCTGTTGGTACAATCAGCTGTGCACTGGCTTTCTTAGCGGTACGCCATACTGGACCGGAGTGGCTTACTTTCACCTCTGGGGAGGGCAGGAGATTTGTTCAACCTCAAACTGCAGTGTTTAAAACAATCTCTAATTAGGGATTAGGATGAGCCCTCGGGGGTGGGTGTCATCCCACATCTGCTAATTGGGGTTCTTACACCTTACTCTGAAGCATCTGGTGCTGCTCACAG